GTAGAAATTTTAAGAAAATGGGATTTTTTAATATCGTAAACTTATATAAGAAAAATAACACATTTTACATCTTATCCTATGTATGATATCAAGAAAGAATGCCCGAGATCAAAAATCCAAGGGATTCTGTCGACGTATCAATTTCCGGTGCTAGTATCGGGAAATATTGGATAAAAGTTTCGAGACACGATCCACAATGATGACAACGTGACGTAAAGAGAAAAAAGAAATCGATACAAAATAGGAAGAGAAAGAGATAATACCTCCTAGTCAATATACATATATATATCACGAATATACTTAATATGTGATGATAAATTGATACTTATTACGTGATCATTTTTATCATGGAAGGGGAATTTGATCATCTTGTTTGATTTTCTTTTGCTTTCTTGTGATTAAAAATTAATAATAATAATACATTAAAAAAAGATTTCAGCATTGATCTCTTAATATTACTTTTCTTACATTTTTATACGAATAAAAAGTGAAGAAATATCGAATGGAATTATTAATAAAAAATGAAGTTGAATAAGGGTAACACGATAAGATCACGATGTTACATAAGTGACTCCAGGGACGGAGTCTAGTTTCGAAGTTCAATATCAAATTTCTTTGAATTCTCACGAAGTTTAAGTTTTATAGAGTTGGAAAAAGGTGCAGTGTTGATGCATCACTGCTATATCTCTCTATAAGTAATGTCGCAGAGATAAAAGTTTCGTTTTTCATTTCTGAAAAAATTGTTTCAAACCGATTGAACTTCTCCTATCTCGATTCTAAAAATTAAAAATCCATTTTTATAAATCTATTAATCCAATTCCTTCGATGTTATTTATATTGATCCAAATTTCCATAACTTCTATAACCGTTTCTCAACTCATCTCACGTTGTCCAAATTTTCCCTAACAGTCTGACGTCTCAATAATTGAATAACTTGTATCGGACAATTTCCACGAATTTGCATGAGCTCATCGTGCAACAACCTCTCTCATCAATACCTTTAATTTTCTCAAAGGAAATACGTATCCACGTGGATACGTTAATTATGTTTCTCTTTCTCGTCATGCAACGTGACTTTTCCAACATTCTATAAAATAATTGAAATTAACGAGGTGAAAATGAAAATCATCGAGAAACGAGATATTTCTCGCTGATTACCACGAGGAAAAGAACGTGTTTGTCCCGTAAAATTAAACTCGAGAATTGGCCCAGTTTCAACTAATAAATGTAACTTACGATGTTCACAGGATATTGCGCTAGGCAAACATTGTCCCTGGATGGTATCGCATGCTTATGACTGGTTTTACCAAGCCCCAGCTATTTTGGTTCTCTGCGTGAACGTGGTGTTTCTCTTTATGATAATGTGGGTAAGTACGTGTGAATTCCTGATCTCGATCCATTGAATGAGAGAAACAAACGTGAATGATAAAGAATAATGATACGAGAAGAGATATTTTGTCGAAATATTTCTGAAATATGTATATGTGTAATGGTATACATGTTTAGAAATGAGTAAATTTAAATTAACATAAAATAACGTTACAATAAGTAATATCGTTATTCTAAGAGGATTTATATCGCGTATAGATTTAATAACGTAATAGAAAATTAATTAATATTAGATAAAACATTAGAAAATCTAAAATATAAATAAAAAAAATAGAATAAAAATTGTCCATTCGATTACTTAAATATCAAAAGATATATATAAGGTATAAAAATTCAATGAAATGCGTTTTGTTGGGATTTTCAATCAGAAATTGATATTATCTTTTAAGTATATAAATTTGAGGATTAAATATAGATAAGGAAAGCAAATAGAAGAAGAAAAATAAAATTAATTGATAAAAAAATATTGAAATCAGTGCTATCTAAAGTGCTGCAGATGAAAGTAATATAAACAAGGAGAGCAAATAGTGAGAAAGATGGAAATAGATTAAAAATATTGAAATCAGCGCCATCTTTAGAGTGTCGCAAATGAAACACAGAAAAAAGAATAGAAAATAGTGGAAGAAAGATAGAGATAGAGTAGAATGAACTATTAACGCCATCTCTATGTGAATATAATAGCTTAACATCGCTTTTTAAAATTTTAAAATATAACTTTTCTACTGCAATAATCATCACATGACGTTTCTAAGATGTTTCACAAGGGATATTAATAAAGTATATTGATGAAATGATATCTATTGTTCACTTTAAATAATCAATATATCCAAAAGAAATAATATAAGTTTAGATTAGATTACACATATTGCGTAATTTTTAACTTGATTTCTAAAAAATTAATTTTTGAAAAATCGATATTAATTACCAAGTCTCGTCACGATGACTACATCTGAGATCCATCTGAAATTAAAAAATAAAAATAAGATATTATTAAAAATTAATGATTAAATTTGAACAAATTAGAAAAACGTAAAAAATAAATTAAAATAATGGTTAAAAGAGATATAAAACAGATAAGAAATAAATATGTATAAATAAATCTAAACATTTTGATCTTTACATTGATCTTTAGAAAAATTTGTTATATTTGTCGTCAATTTATCCCGTTGTCCAACGATGAAACTTAATCTAATTTAATCTAAATCTTAAATCTATTGGCATTATCAAAAATATATTTCACTATTATTTCACTATTTAAAACGAAATAAGAAAAATTTAATTAATTATTGAAGTTATATCAACAAATATCAATTCTAATCATCGCTAAAACGAAAAGAAAGAAAAAGAAAAAAAACAAATACAAGAGAAAAAATGAATATTCAACAAGAAACAATATAAAAAACCTAAAAAAAAAAAAAAAAA